GCTATTTATTTGATAACGCATAGCGTTTATGACTCAAGCTTTACCAAACTAAGATTTTTCTGCTTGTATTAATTTGGCACATCAACTACAAATTTAATCGTTTCCCCCAATAAACTAAAAAGACCTCTGACAGCATCAATCTGTTCTAAATTTGGTATTTATTCACTTTATGATTTTTCTACGAGTTTTATTAAATGCGAGGAGTTTTTTAAGCGTCATAATGGGACTTTATCCTACCGACATAAAATCAGCGTAGGGTGTCTCTATGCTGACCACTACGATATAGGCACTCAATTACTGTAAACGTCTACTGTATCTCCAATATCCAAGAGTACTGGGCCTAACCAGAGACTAAAGAAGTATAATCCAAAGCCCCTATTCGTTTTACCTATTACGAAGGTTTACTTCCACACATGATCATTTTCATGCTTCCATCGAGAAATAACGACTCAGGTCAAGACTCTGGACAGGCAAATGAGGCAGTGCAGACCCTCATCCCACATCCCCCTTCCCCTCACAAGTCTTCCAGGAACAACGTAAGACATTGTCTTCCAGCATCCAAAAAAGCTTCGATTTAGGTCTGATCTTCCTGCATTTTTTCCTCCGCCTCTAGCTTTTGTTCTTATCTTTTGTTATTTGAGGACAAGATCCAACTGAATATACCCTGAACTCTACCAAGAATTTAATTTTTGCTAAATAAGGGCTTGAGGATCCGCATTTTATGGCAAAATTCATTTCTTAAGCTATGGTCTCATGTCTGTAACCCTCTCGGATCTAGCAGCAGTCCTTACACAGTTTAAACTAATTTTGCTCCTCCGTCAGTATTTTAATGTGCTTTTATACCACAAAACCACAGCTTTGGCAAATCGCAAACGGTCTTGCAGAATTATAATCGGTATCTGCGGATAGTTGGGCAATTTTGAGCAAAAAACCACTCTCTTCAAAGTGACGAGTGATCAATACTCTGGTGAGAGTAAAGTAGTCTACCTTTCTGGAATATTTTCTAGACTCCATTTCTGTATTGCCCTCTCTCACTACCTCTTTATGTCACCAAGAGGAATCTCTATGCAGATTTGAACATCCGTATGTTTCCAAAAAACTTATAGTGTGCCGATATGAGTGATTTTTCAGAGCATGGTCACATCGATGACTGATAACGATGGTATTGCTGGTGGACGTGGAACAAAAATATTCTTTTAGAGCCTTGTCTTAATGAATTAATAAATAAGTGTATTAAAATCGGCCTCAATAAAACAGACATGGTTAAATGGAGAAACTAGCTTTCTCAAAATCACTTAAGGCCTCGATGATCAGCCTCACCAAAATTTGTCTTTTTAACCAAGTGTCTGGGAGTTTGCGACCAGAATGTTACCCATCATTATAATTGTCCCTCACGTGACTGGCAAGAACTCAGCTCGATTTCCCCAGGCAGGAAAGACAGTGCTCCAAGTACTGCGATACTGTTAAAAATAGCCTGGAGAGAAAATAGAAATTTATATATGAAGTATATTAACGCTATTTCGTTAAGGTGATAGGAGGACTGGTAGTTGAATTTGCCAACAATGATATGAGTAGACCTTACGTTACTGGTATTATCGCAAACCTACTTGTAAACGGAGAGCATAAATTTTCGCCAGCTAATGGTGAAACCGATTAACAAACATCCTCAATTTGAAATGTAAGACGAAATTTGAAAGGTTCCAGAAACGACCAATGAAACTTGATAAGAAGCAAAAGTATACATTTGATCGCTTTGTGTTAAAAGGAGTGATAAATGCTGAACAAGAAATTAAATACTCCTTGATTAAGAACTTTAATCGCATTGAGCTATATAGGGTAAAGTAAAAAGTTATGCTGAATTTTCTAAAATGGAGCTAGCAAATCTCACGATACCACTGAATTTTACGTAGCTTTGCCTCCTGAGTAGCCTAAGCGGACTAGAGTGACTTAGGTTCCTATTCAAGTTCATCTGATAGTTTCGAAGCATAATAATAGGGTATTTAGTAAGCAAATATGCAAGTTTGTTATCTCGACAAAAACCCTTCGATAAATGTGAATCGAGAGAGACATTGCTTGCTTTGAAAGTCACATGTGTCCTGTAATTCATTAGTCTCTTTAGCTGTCTAGCTAAGTGGCAACAACCCGGTTTCGATTACCGCTGGGATTGCTGATGATACCGAGGTCAGATTAAAACGACAGTCTGCGTGCTTTGGGGAAGACAAGTTTGATAAAGTTCAAAGGCATTTTATGGCATTTTCACTTAGTAACGGGTAATTTCTAAATCAATCTTAAAATAATAAGTAGTATACATCGGGGTTATCTTTGAATTATAATAAACTGTTGAATAAGAGTAATAGTCACTCTAGATTGCACAAGGTGATGCAAAATTTATAAATGCCATTTTACACAGTTACATGAGTAGGTCTCCCAACGCCAATTAAATTTACTTAACTCGTTTCACTAAAGGTGAAAGGTAGTTTTGAGCACCCATAGGCATCATCCCCACAACCAACGGTGATTAAACCCGGATTGTTGTAGTACAGTGTACATTATCAACATGCTGCCACTAAATCCGCACTATCAAGAGTGGATGTGAAGGATAGGGTCGACATGCATTTTATGAAGAGCCAAGGCCTTACTTCGTCACATTTATATAATGGGAATATCGATGAGGAAAACTGGGCTTATAAAAATATTATTAGCATAATTTACATTTCTTCCGAAGCGGCGAGTTGCAGAGATTCGTAATTTAGCCTGACGGAGGATTGCCTGGGAGATGTAACTGTAGATTTGTGTCCCACGATTCAAATGAGACCCTACTGAAGTTTCATCTGTCATATAACAGACATCGTCAGAGCAGGAAACCATACTTTACGATAATTCACCTTGAGATATCTAATTAAGCTAAAAAGTGTAGGTAGGTATGTATGTAGGTAGGTAGGTAGGTAGGTATGATTGCAGCTGTTCATTTTGTGTGCGTAGTCGTGCCTTGTAAATTATTGTAAAGAATGGTTTTCTGTTCAGATTATGTCCTTCATATGACAGTCGCAGAATAGTGAGCTGATGATTCATTTGTACAAATACAGTCACAATTTTAAAGCAATCTTTTTTCTGTTTCATATAAGGCAAACTTCCGAATTGCTTCAAATCACATTTTTAAAGGAAACAAAGGTAATGCCAAAATCAAACTGTATTTTGCCATTAAAATCTCCTACATTACTCATATTGACATGAAGTAGGCTATGTGAATATTTATCTCGAGTTAGGCCGCGTTAAATGATGAAGGACCAAAATCGACTTAGGTACTAGTATCGGCGAGCACATCTGGCAGTGTAGCTTGGTTCGAGTCCCGTTGAGCTGCTGATAAGACCTATGTGAGTTAGCAACTGGATACCACACAAGATGGGAAGAGTGAAGCTTGGAAAATTTAACTATGTGTACTTAAACCGCCTCTTGCCGACTTGGGATGGCTAAAGTTCTTATTCTATATAAGAAGTAAGATAGAGCCGGATAGTGTTCTTGGCCTAGTGTTAACATGAGACTCTTACAAGAA